TCCTATTCTTCATCCCAATGGGCAGCCAAAAGACAGCAACCAAAACCGGCGCTCGAATATGCGTGGTTAATGGTTGTTCAAACTGAAACTGAAACTGCAGAAAAGTCACTGAAAACGGATGCCCACAATACATTGTCAGCAATCGTCGCAAATCGGCCTTCGAAGCGGAACCATCAGATCATCTCAGTTCAATCATCAACCGGATTACTCAGTAGACACTGGAGGGCAAGTAAGGAAGCGATTTAAATGTCAATCAAAACAACAGTGAATTCTGGCCCACGATCAAAATTTAAATGATGGATCCCCCTCGACCTCGGTTACCTTGCTCGGAAAGCCATCCCTTCGGATTCTATTTACGATAAAGTGCGCAAATCCCGTAAACGCCAGCTCATCAAGAGTCTGAAGATTGACCGCAAGAAGTCGTGGGTAGGGAATTGTAGAAAGATGGAGAAAGCTGTGGCTATCGGTAGTAGTCGCAACCTTCTCCGACTAATTAGGAGCACAGGTCCAAGGTTCAGTTGTGCAAATACTGCCAGTCGATATCAGTCCTCTATCTGAAACGGAGAGATAAATTATCTCAAAAGGTATAAGGCTTCCGGCCTCGACGGGCTGTTTTCGTCGGTTTTGAAGGATGGAGGTTCAGCTTTGTTTTTGGAGTTAACGAAACTCCTGGGCTCAATATAAGGGAAAGGGAACAGATTCCAACTGAATGGTGTGAATCGGTCGTTATACCGATTTACAAGGGCGACAGGTTCTCTTGTGAAAACCACAGAGGAATTAGTTTAATCAACGTTGCCTCTAAACTTCTCGCTGGTGTCATACTCCGTCGATTGTCTGCCGCACGTGGAGAGTGCACACATGAGAGCCAGACTGGTTTTAGACCTGGTCGAGTCTGTATAGACCACATCTTAACGCTTCGTCAAATTCTAGAACACAGACACTTCTTTCGTAGACCCACCATCTCTGTCTTCCTGAATATGAAAGTGGCCTTCGACTCAGTCGACCGCTTTAAACTCTGGCACTGTCTCGCTCTAAAGGGTGTACCCGAGAAGTTTATTTCAATATTACAATCCATTTATAATAATATCTGGAGCTTATGGCACTTTTTCACCCGACTTCACCACGGAAAGTGGTGTTTGGCTTCTCTATTCAAATTTGTCACGGGGAAACTATGCTTCCCAACGGTTTTTAACTTTGTGATTAAGCAGAGCACTGCTTTTCATCATTGAGAACGTCACACGAATTTGATGTTATCTTTGATGTAGAATATTTGTATGCCCACCAATTGCGGACATTTGTATCATTTTGTGAATCTCCCCTGAATCATCTGTCCGCTGGTCGGCTTTACCTAGGATCCTTTTCCTTTTTCTTATCTTCGCAGTCGTCACTGACCTATTATCTAACTCGATAAAAATGAAGCAAATCTCCCAAGAATTTTTCAATGACAGTGTACAGACCAATATGGAGCTTCTAGATTTGACCTTAGATGAAGCTATCGAGGAAACTGTCAATACATTTCTCATTGAGGTGAGTGTACAGTTTATGTACCCAGATGATTTTGTATTTTTCAGGGTGTTGATTTGTCAAATATTATAAAAGATATGCTTAAATACACAGAAGGCCATCCTGGTGAAGCTTTGATAAAGCAACTGAAAAACACTTCGTTACGCGACCCGGACTTTGTCTCTATCCTCGATTCACTGATAGCTATAAGCATGCGAGATTTAGCGCATCGAAAATTGCTGGTGGATCGTGGCNTGACTTGCTGTTATCACTTGTACTAAAATGTACTTCCTTGTCCGAGATATCGGAATACGTGCACGTTTTTGATCTCATCGGAAACGTTGTCAATGGCCAACCTCAAGTTCTGAATACTGATATTCGTAGCGAGTATTTTACTGGTAAGTTAATTCCAATATTGTCTCTGAAACAAGATCTTATCACAAGATACAAATAACTAAGTTTTGTTTTGCTGTCGATTGCTAGATTTGCAAGGATTCCTCACTACGCAGATCGGAACGACCCAACCTCATGATAGTCACTGGTCGGAGGAACGTATCCCTTTGTCCTGGGGTGAATCGATGATCGTCGCGATCTTCAAGTAAGGATCACGCAACGACTGCCCTAACCGTCGCGGGATTAGTTTAGTTTCGATAATCACAAGTGTTGACTTCTGTGATACTTCTCCACCTGACACCCTTAAGGGAGGGGAATATCCGCGAAGAACAAGCTGGATTCCGACCAGATCGCGGGCTTATTGACCGGATCTTCACTCTCCGTCACATACATCGTCGGCCAACAATCACATTGTTCCTTGACCTGAAAGGAGCCTTCGATTCAATTGACCGTGAAGCTCTTCTGGGG